TGGCCAGTGCAGCCTCGGCCTCCTCCACCGACCCTGTGGCACCTGGGGGCCCTGGAGGAGCTGAGGGGCCCATGGCCAAGAAGCACGCAGGTGAGCGCGACAAGAAGCTGGCGGCCAAGAAGAAGACGGACAAGAAGCGGGCTCTGCGGCGGCTGTAGTGGGCTCTTCCCCCCACTCCTGCCGGACCCTCAACGCTGTCTCTAAATTATTTAAGTTATGGCTGGGTGGGGGAGGGTGGGGGCACTGGGACCTGGATTTGTTTTTCTAAATAAAGTTGGAAAAGCAAGCAACCGCTGTATCTTTTAGTGCCCCAGGACCAGCCTCTGCCATGAGAGCTCAGCAGTTGGCAGCCCACCCTCAAGTGCACCCATGGTCCACCACACTGGGTCCCTCAGCTGAGTGGGCCTCCTGATTGAGCTCGGGCCACCTCTGTGTGGTGGGGGGGTAGTCACAGCCCCTCAAGTCAGATTTCCCATCTGAAATGGGATGAGGGGAGGGGGCCTGCTGGGCCAGGTGACAGATGGGAGGAGCCTTGTCCATTTGTCCTTGACTGGGGACAGATGTGTAACAAATCTCTGAGCCCAGTACAGTTGGCACCTTCCGATTTTCTATGCTCGAAAGTCCCAGTAGTGTGGCAAGCTGGGTATTCCTGGGTTTCACACCAAAGCTGAAAGGCCTGCCACATGCCTTTCTCAGGTCAAGGTCATGGTGGACTTCAGCTCTGGGAGCTGTCCTTGGGTTCTTGCCCTCCCTGGTCTCAAGTGTCCAACCTCAGTGCCCAGATTCCTTGAAGACTCAGTTGATGAGATGTGCTCTTAATGAACCAAGTGATGATGTGACTGCAGGACCATACCTTGATGTCACTCACAGGTTCTGCCCCTCACTTCAGGGGTATGTGGGAACCGGGACAGGTTAGTTTTCCTCACAGTGGGCCATAGATGGGCCAGATAAGGCCGGCTGTTGTTGCCTCAGTTCCTCCTCCATTATCGACAATTTTGTTGCCTTGTGCCGGGACCCCAGGGTACTGTCAAAAATGACCATAAGCCCTGGCTGGGTGGCTCAACTGAGTGGGGCATCGTTCCGTGCACCAAAAGGTTGCAGGTGCTCTCCCCGGTCTGGGCATGTACAGGAGAAAGCTGATTGAGGTTTCTCTCTCCCCCTTCCTCTCTAAAATCAACTTTTAAGAAATCCTTGGGTGGGTTAAATTTTTCATAAAATGAAAAAGGAAGCCTGGCCAGGCGTGGCTCAGCAGTTGAGCGTCGACCTAGGATCCAGGCGATCGGGGTTCGATTCCCAGTCAGGGCACATGCCCAGGTTGCAGGCTCAATCAATGACTCTCTCATCATTGATGTTTCTATCTCTCTCCCTCTCCTGTCCTCTCTCTGAAATCAATATATTTTTTTTTTAAAAAAAAGGAAAACATCTACAAAAATGCTTGTACGTGAATTTTCAGTTGCTACTTTTTTAATAGGCGAAAGCTGGAAATGACCCAAATGTTCAACAGACGGATGAGTGAAGGAACTGGTAAATTCACTCAGCAAAACGCTGATACCCAAAGCGGGTGAATCTCAGAAATGTGACATGCTGGGTGAAGCCTTACACAAAAGTGCAAAATGTTCTGTCCCGTTTGTATGAAATCCTAGAACAGGCCAAACTAGCCACTCACAGCTAAAAGCGGACTGTTGGCTCGCTGGGATCAGCAAGGACCAATGGAGAGGAACATGGGGAGTTTTGGGGGTGATGAGCATATTCCAGGTATTGACTGTTAGTCACATGGGAGCAAAGATTTTTTATTATTTTTTTAAAATATATCTTTATTGATTTCAGAAAGAGGAAAGGAGAGGGATAGAGAGAGCTAGAAACATCAATGATGAGAGAGTCACTGATCGGCTGCAGCCCACAACCCAGGCATGTGCCCTGACCGGGAATCAAACCCTGATCGCCTGGATCCTAGGTCGACGCTTAACCACTGAGCCACGCCTCGCCGGGCGGGAGCAAAGATTTTTAAAAACTTGTAAAACTATACACTTCAAATAGGTGTATTTCACTTTGTGTAAAGCATATTTCAAGCCGATTTAATATTTTTAAATCACGAACTGTTTATCTAAAGTAGAGTAAAAGGCAAGTCAGTGGGACAAGAGCTGCAGGTCCCATAACTCGAAAGGACTAATCCAAAGAATACATATGCTCTGGCTGGGTGGCTCAGTTGGTTAGTGTCACCCCAATACACCAAGGTTGCGGGTTCGATCCCTAGTCAGGGCACACACAATAACCCTAACCCAGTGTATAAATATGGTTTATGCACTGTTCTGTATTCCACTCGACTTGAACACTTTGAAAACATGCAGCTCATTATGTACTGATAGGGACCAGTCCCCAAAATACGGTCTGAAAAGAGCAACATGTAGTTTATAGAACATGCTACCACTTCTGTTCAATTTCTAACGATTTTTGTTTAAAATAGGATGCATGTCTTTATTTTTAAAGAACTTTATTGATCTTAGAGAGGGGGAGAGAAACATCGATTTTTCAGTTGCCTCCTGCACGCAGCCTTGACAGGGATCAAACCCACACCCTAGGCATGTGCCTGACCTGGAATCGAACCCACCTGTGGTGCAGGGGATGATGCTCCAACCCAGCCACACTGGCCGAGCTAGATGTGTCTTCGCTTGCGTATGTATTTAACGCCTCTGGAACATCATATTAGAACCTGCAAATACATCTCAAGGAAGGAGAGCCTGGAACACCTTGTGAATGTTCCCTATTCATAAAGCAGACCTTTTTTAAACTTAGGAAAACAAGTTCCTACAAAGAAATGGCTCCCTCTCAGAACTTTCTTCCCAACTATCAGTTCTCTTAATCAGGACAACCAATGATAGAACATGCTTGTGTATTTTTCTGGGGAAACTCTAGCGAATGTGAGCAAATTTAAATATCTATTCTTCTAGCCCTGGCCAGGTAGCTCAGTTGGTTCCAGCATCGTCCCCATACACCAAGGCTGAGGGTTCAATCTCCGGTTGCAGCACAAACAAGAATCAACCAGTGAATACATGAGTAGAACAGCAAACCAATGTCTCCCCCCATCAGCAAGTCACACACTTTGCTTTCTGGACTTAATGGCAAGTCTGGAAGTCTGTCCCTATCAGCACTACAGCCCTTCCCTGCTCCTAGCTGTTTGGTATCCAACGTGGAGGTGTGTCTTACAGGTGTGCCATCCTTCGGGTCACAGGTTCTGGACCCACTGACCGTGCTGGAATATGGAACCTTTGCCAGTGCAGATGCCCCAGGACACTGGGTGCAGGGAGGCGAGGTGGGTGGGCCTTGTCAGCACTGCCTTCACCAGGAGGGTTCTGCTAGTGGCCAAGGTGGTCATGGACCACATGTTATCACAGGTTGCGATAAACACCAAAAGACCCGAAACATGCAGGCAAGGACTTAGAGGGCAACGGGAGGGGTGAGAGGGCCAGTATGTTCTTTAGATGGGCAATTAGAGGAGACCCGAGGAGATAAGAACTGACACTCTGGACAAGATGCAGCCGCGGGATATGGGGATGCTAGAGGTAGCAGGTGGAGTGGAGTACCCAAAGAGCTCAGGTAAGGCTAGAGAAGCAGGGCCAAACCCGGCAGGGCCTGCAGGCAGCTGGGTGGCTGGTCCCCCAGGGGCTTCTGCAGCAAGACCAGGGAGCAAGTGAGAGACAGCCTGAGGCTGACAGATGGAGTGTGAGCACTCCCAGTTCAGCAGGAGGTAAAAAGTTGGCTGGTCAGGTCCTTAGACAAGAACAGGCTGCTTAAGGACATGGCAGCTGGTCGGTGGGAAGCCTGGGTGCCACATCCCTTCTGGGTGGCTTGAGGGCCTGTGCCCCTCCTCATGGGCACTCTTGGCCCAGAACCAGCAGCCACGGCATGATGGAGCCCCAGGTCTGTCCTAGGATATTTCTCACCTCACTCCTGTGGGGGTTTCTGGAGGGGCTGCCATCCGCCCCAGGACCACAGCATGGAGGGCCAGCCTGTGGCCTTCACGCTGGAAAGGGGCCACTTCTCTCCCAAATTCCATCACAAGTGTCTACAGACAGGGTCCCCAGACAGCAAACACCCAGATGGTAATCACGTCCACCTTCAAACAGCTGGAGGAAGGTGCAGGTGGGCGGATCTAGCCCAGTGTGCTGACCTCGGTCCAGATCCCCACTCCTTAGGAAATTTATTCTAAACGTTCACGAATCAAAAATTGTCATTTAAGGTCTTGAAGCTGTCATGTTCCAACAGTGTGGGATTCTGAGGACTTTACTGGTTTAATCCGCACTTTCTGATTAATTCTGGTCATCTCTGATGCGCTGAATGTAGGAATTTACACCAGCCCCCAGCCCACTGCCAGGAGCAGAGAGCCTGGACCTAGTCACACGCTGGGACTGGGCTCCCGGACCTGGCCCTGGTCCCTCCAGTTCCAACACACTTTGACCTGTTTGATACCAATGGATGGGGGAGGGGGAGAGGGGGGGAGGTCCCCCCCCCCAAGCTGACAGTTCCAGTGACATGGCCTAGGTCTGTCTCACACTCTCTCTCTCTCTGACACACACACACACACACACACACACGAAGCCTGGGAGAGGCAGTTAAGGAAAGTTGGCTGATACCTTTATTGTTTTGGGGGGAGGGGGTGCTCAGGAGCTCTTGGTGGGGCGGGCCCGCTTCCTTTTCACCATCACAGGCTTCTGGCTGCGCAGTATGGCGCTGGCCCTGCGGATGGCGGCCATGCGCAGATCCGGGCGGTACTTGTTCTTGCGGATCATGTGCCGGATGCTGCTCAGGGTGGCCCGGGCGTTCTTGTTGATGGTAGTCCGCACATAGGAGGTTGCGGGCTTTCGCTGGCCTGGTGGGGGAGAAGGGGGCCCCAGGGGGTCAGTCAGATGGCCTGGGCCTTTAACGCACCTTCCAGGTATGAGGGTACAGCACTGCCAGAACCCGAGCACCATGGCTGTGAGCCTGGGCAGGCCCCAGCCTCACCTTCACACACAGATTTACGGGACACTAACAGTGACCACCAAGGCTAGGCCATGGGTACTGTACAGGCATCTCCCTGTCACTGTATCCGAGACACATCAATCGCCATCATCTCACTTTACAGAGAGAGCAGACACAATGGATGAGGGCCTCCACCCAAAGTCACAAACACACAACAGAGCTGTGGGAATCCAGGCGTCCTGGCTCCAGGCAGAGCGAGGTGAGGGAGGCACTTGGCACCACGTTGGCCAGACAGCGAGCACTTCTACCACTGCAGCTGCCCTCCTTTCTCTGCTCCACCCCACCCCTGAGCCCAAGGTACCCACTCTGCACAGGGGTCTGAAATGCCAAGCTGGGGCCTGGCCCCGATGCTGGGGTGACGGGGAGTCAAGAAGGGCCAGTGGTGAGGAGCCACACAGGTGGAACTTGGGCTCCACTGCCCAGAATTCAGCCAAGGACCCTCTTCTCCATACCAGGGGTATGGCCAAGTCACTGACCCTGGAGCAGGACCCACATTAACTGCTCACATCAGCCCAGTTCCTGACAGTTGGGGAAGGCCACTCAACAATCCAAGAAGGGAAAGTCTCTACAGGACCCAACACACCAGAACGAGGAGTGTGGAAACCTGAGAAGCCCACTGGCCTAAGTGACTGGGCACTCTAGAGCTGTGCTCCTAAGGACAGACAGGAGTCACCAAGATCGGGAGCTGGCGGGCAAATGGACACGGACGACACTGAACCAGATGCTGAACCCTGACCACAGACAGACACTGGTCATCATCAGGGACCTGAGAAAAGCTCATTCCTCTCTTAAAAACGGCAAAGAACAGAAATGGTGGAGGTACCATACCCCATGACTCAGAAAAGCCTCTGAATTCTCCAACATTCTCTAAGACACTAAAATGGCCCATTTGTGCCTAAGGGTAGTTTATGAGAATGGGTTATCTGTTTGGGTCCACACAGCAAAAACGGGGTCAGCCTGCTGCTTCCTACAAGTGGGAGCTTGGGGGGCGGATCAACTACTTGCCTAAATTTTCCCACCAGCATCGAGATGGAGACATCCACCTCCACCTGGGCTGTTTGAAGGAATTAACCTTAAAACATCGGCTGGTGCAACCCTGTAATTTAATCCTAACCACCACCACCACCAGTACATACAGCTCAGGTTTTATTAATTTCTCCATTTTACAGAGGACAAAGCAGGTTTGAAAAAGACCCCACCAGCTGACAGAGGGCGGAGTGGCCAAGAGGTGAGCAGCGTCCCAGAGGAACATCCTGACCCCAGGAATCCTCGACTAAGTAGCAGAATCACTCTTGTTGCCCAACACTGAAAAAACCCCAGCTCCCTGCCCCGATGGGGGCCAAGCCGGGGGACACACTCACCGGATCTGCGCTTCATGACGACCACCACGCCTTTGCCGTCGGCCGCGGGCTCCACGCCCACGGTCTTGCGGTGAATCAGCCCGTTGTAGCGAAAGGAGTTGCGGGCCTTCAGGTTGTTGGGTTCCTGGGAGGGAGGACGTATGAGGGTCGGGAAGAGGGAGGGGGCCGGGCGCCCGCGAAGCCGCCCCCCTCAGACCCGGCGTGCGGGTCCCACTTACGGTGCTGTACGTCTGCTTGTTCCTCTTGATCAGGAAGCTGGAGCAGTTCCGCACGATCATCCACTGCAGGTGGGCAGACATGGCGGCAGCTGCGGGGAGAGAGGCGCGCGCGGGGCGATGTCAAAGGGAGCCGCAGGCCGAGGCCGAGCCCCGGGACCCCCCCAGGACAAGAGATGGAGGGTGTGAGCGGGGACCTGGCGAAGGTGGACAACCCGAGGGCGGACAGCACCCAGGAACTTCCCAGGCGGGGCTGGGCGACCTAAGGCGGCGGGGCTGAACGCAGGCCCGGGACTAACTGAGGAGAACGTGAGAGCCCACAGCGCCGCGGGCGCCGGGGCCGGGGGGAGCCAAACACGCGAGGGACGCGCCGGGAACCGCGGGCGGGAACTAACACGGGACCGGGGGCGCAAGACGCGGCCACGCGGGCGGGCGGAAGGCCTGCGCTCACCTCCTCACGATGCTGCTGCCGGAGACGGAAGAGGCACGCAAGGGGCGGGGCGACGTCTTTAATACCGACACGCATTTCCGCTTAGCCTCTGGGCACGCGCTCGCCGTCTCCTGACCCCGCCTCCAAGGGCGGCTCGGCGACGTTCGGCTACTTCCGCCGGTTCGTCACACACCGCTCGGGAACCTTCGGAACTCCTCAGAGACCCGAGGGCGCGTTCTCAGACGCGGAGCTGTACCATTGCGGGGCCCTTCGTGTGTTTCCGTAACTCCACGGCTGGGTACAGCTAGAGCGGCCCCAAGCCCCTTTCCTCAGCGGCCTCTCCCCGGGATTGGTCACCCAGCGCTTGACACAGGATGAGCGCTCAATAGATATGTTTTAGGGTTTATGCTTATGAACGAACGTGTGAGTGTGCGAACTATTTAAGCCTAGCTCAAGGCCTCGGTGCTTCCGGTCTTCTTCGTAAGCCCTCGGCTATTGCCGAAGAAGGCTCGCTCGGGCATCTCCGGAAATCTCCGGCAACGCTCTTCGGAGAGGGTGGCCGCCTTTCTTATTGGCCCGTGCCCGATTCGGGCCTGTTCGGAAACACTCGGTCCCTCTCGGCCACACTAGGAAGCCTTCGGAACCCCCGCAGTCTCCTCCCGAGGGGAAAACAAACTCCAAGTGTTGGGTCTAGAGGGAAAGCGACCTTACTCCTCCAGGTTCGCACCCCGGGGAGCGTGGGTGTCCTCTAAGGGCGAGTTGTTCGGAGGGAAACCTGCCTGGGAAAGCCCTCGAGTCGTTCCTTCAGGGGTCCCGTCCCTGCCCGCCAGCGCCCCACCTCCCCTCGGGGCCGCTTCGTCCCGCCCGTCCCACTTCCGGGAAGCCTGCTTTCCGTCCCCCGCGACCCCGCGGCTCCCCAGGGCGCCTGTGAGGGCAGGGCCGGGCGAGGCCCCAGCCGAAAAAAGCAAAGCCGACGCCTGACGTCCATCAGGGCGCCGCGAGTCCGACGGCGGGGCGGCCCGTGACCGGCCACCTTCGTGCCGTCCGCTCGGCGGTGGCTCCCAGGACGCTCCCGGGGCAGGAGCGCGTGAGCGGAACCGCGGCCCCGCAGAGCCCGCGTCCCGAGCCCCCCGCGCTGAGCGCCTGTCCCGTCCCTATTTGGACACCGCCCGTCCCCCCGTGGTGCCTAGAAGGCCCCGGAGGAGAGCGGAACGGAACGGGGCCAGGCTTCCGCCCGCCCCGCCGCCTCCATCAGGGCGCCCCGAATGTTGACCGTGCTGCCTCCGCTCCTCGGGGCGCAGGGGCCCCGGGCCACCCTTACGCCTCGGCGCCAGGCCCTGCAAGGAAACCCCGGGCAGGGCCCCTCCAGAGCCGCCCAGCTCAGGTGACCCGGAGGCCGCGGGGCACACCTGGCGCCGGCCCCGACCCCGCCCCTGGACGGGCGGCACCCGGAAAACTCCCGGCCGGAGCCAG